AACTGGCCCAGAGGTTGTGGCCTAGAAGGGGCTTGGCTTTTCCTCAAGTGGAGAGGTGATCGTGGGAACAGTACAGAGACACTCAAGAGGTGAAAGAGTTTGCAAAAAGTGATGGGCCTAAACACCTTCATGCTGACTGAAATAAGTCAGTCAGAGAAGCAGAAATGCCCTTTGACATCCCTTATATGCAGAATCCAGAAAGACAAGATACAAAGGAATTTATTTACAACCCAGAAACATAACAGTCTTAGAGAATGAACTTATGATTTCTAGAGGGAAGGATGAGGGTAAGGGACAGTTATGGAGCTGGGATGCTCATGTACACACATGATATTGAAAATAGATAAGGATCATATGCCATGATCAAGTCAGGTATATTCAAGGGATGCAAAGATTCTTCAATATATGCAAATCAATCAATGTGATGCACCATATTAACACATTAAAACATAAAATTCCTATGACAATTTCCATAACTTCAATAAAACTTTCAACAAAATTAAGCACCCATTTATGATAGAAACTCTCAGGAAAATTGGCATTGAAGGAATCTATCTGAATATTAAAAAAACCATAATCCCACAGGAAACATTGTTCTCATTGGTGAAAAACAGAAAGCATTTCCTCCAAGATCAGGAGCAAGACAAGGATGTCCACTCTGACCACTGCTATTCAATATAGTTTTGGAAGTCCAGCCATGGCAAACAGAGAAGAAAAAGAAATAGAGGAATATAGACTGGAAAGGAAGCAGTAAAAATCTCACTATTTGTAGATGACATGATATTACACATAGAAAAAGTAAAGATACTATAGCCAAAGATACTAGAGATAACAATAAAGATAACTAGAGCTAATTAGTGAATTTATTTGTATAGTCATAGGATACAAAATCACTATACATGAACTCCTTGAAATCCTGTACACTAACAATGAATACTCTGAAAGATAAGTTAAGGAATCAATTCCATTCACCACTGACATAAAAAGAATAAAATACCTAGCAATAAACCTACCTAAGGAGACAAAAAGGCTGTATACAGAAATTTATAAGACACTGATGAAAGAAACTAAAGATGACATAAACAGATGGAAAGATATACCATGTGCTTGGAAGGGAAGAATCAATATTGTGAAAATGACTATACTACTCAAAGCAATCTACAGATTCAATGGAATCTATATAAAATTACCAATGGTATTTTTCACAGAACTAGAACAAAAAATTTCACAATTCATCACTCGCTCGCTCAGTCACTCAGTCATGTCCAACTCTTTGCGACCCCATGGACTGTAGCCCACCAGGCTCCTCTGTCCATGGGATTCTCCAGGCAAGAATACTGGAGTGGGTTGCCATTTCCTTCTCCTACGGGAACACAAAAGACCCTTTATAGGCAAAGTGATCTTGCAAAAGAAGAATGGAGCTGAAGGAATCAATCTTCATGATTTCAGACTATATTGCAAAGCTGTATTCATCAAAACAGTATGCAACAGGCAGAAAAACAGAAATATAGGCTAATGGAACAAGATAGAAAGCCAGGAACAAACCCATACACCTATGCGCATCTTACCATTAACAAGGGAGGCAAGACTGTGAAAGTGAAAGTAACACAGTCATGTCTAACTCTTTGCAACCCCATGTACTATACAGTACATGGAATTCTCCAGGCCAGAATACTGGAGTGGGTAGCCTTTCCCTTCTCCAGGGGATCTTCCCAAACCAGAGATTGAACCCAGGTTTCCTGCAATGCAGGCAGATTCTTTACCAGCTGAGCCACAAGGAAAGCCCAAGAATACTGGAGTGGGTAGCCTATTCATTCTTCAGCAGATCTTCCCAACTCCATTATCAAACTGGGCTGTCTTGCATTGCAGGTGGATTCTTTCCCAACTGACCTATGAGGGAAGCTACAATAGAGAAAAATAGTCTCTTTAATAAGTGATGTTAGGGAACCTGGACAGCTACATGTATTATAGAAGAAAGAAATTAGAACATTGCCTAGCACCATACACAAAGATAAACTCAAAATGGATTAAAAACCTAAATGTAAGATCAGAAACCACAAAACTCTTCAAGAAAAACACAGGCAGAACATTTCTTTTTATATTTTTTATTTTTATTTTTCATTTATTTTTATTAGTTGGAAGCTAATTACTTTACAATATTGTAGTGATTTTTGCCATACATTGACATGAATCAGCCATGGATTTACATGTGTTCCCCATCCTGATCCCCACTCCCACCTCCCTCCCATCCCATCCTAAATAAATCACAAAAAGCTCCTCTATGACCCATCTCCTAGAGTAATGGAAATAAAAACAAAAATAAACAAATGGGAACTAATCAAACTTAAGAGATTTTGCACAGCAAAAGAAACTACAAACAAGATGAAAGGACAGCATTCGGAATGGGACAAAATAATTGCAAATGAAGCAAGTGCAAAGGAATAATCTCCAAATTATACAAGCAACTCATGCAGCTCGACATCAGGGAAAAAATTTTTTTAATGGGCAGAAGATCTAAACAGACATTTCTCCAAAGAAGGCATCCTAATGGCTAATCAACACATGAAAGAATGATCAACATTGCTTATTATTAGAGAAATGCAAATCAAAACTACAATGAGGTATCACCTCACATAGGTCAGAATGGACAACATCAATAAATCTGCAAACAATAAATGCTGGAGAGGATGTGGAGAAAAGGGAAGCATCTAGCACTGTTGGTGGGAATGTAAATTGGCAGAGCCACTTATGGACATTCCTTAAAAAACTGGAAATGTAACTATCATATGACCCAACAATCCCATTACTGGGCATATACACTAAGGAAATTATTATTGAAAAAGACACAGGTACTCCAGTGTTCATTGCAGTACTATTCACAATAGCTAGGACATGGAAGCAACTTAGATCAATGTATAAAGAAATGGTGGTACCCATATACAATAGAACAGCATCGAAACATGTATATTATCTAGGGTGAAACAGATCACCAGCCCAGGTTGGATGCATGAGACAAGTGCTCGGACCTGGTGCACTGGGAAGAGCCAAAGGGATCGAGTCGAGAGGGAGGTGGGAGGGGGTATCGGGATGGGGAATATATGTAAATCCATGGCTAATTCATGTCAATGTATGACAAAAACCACTACAATATTGTAAAGTAATTAGCCTTCAACTAATAAAAAAAAAAAAAACTTGCCCATATACAATAGAATACTACTCACCCATAGAAAGGAATGCATTTGAGTTAGTTTTAATGAGATGGGTGAAACTAGAGCCTATTAAACAGAGTGAAGTAAGTCAAAAAGACAAAAGCAAACGTTATGCATTAATGCATATATATGAAATCTAGAAAAATGGTACTGATGAACATATATGCTGGGCAGGAATAGAGACCTGGACATACACAGCAGACTTATGGACACAGTGGGGGAAGGAGAGGTCAGGATGAATTGAGAGAGCAGTATGGAAATGCATACATTACCATGTGTAAAATAAATAGTTAATGGGAAGTTGTTGCATAGAGCAGGTGCTCGTGAAACCTACAGGGATGGGATGTGTTGGGAGGTAGGACAGAGGTACAAGAGGGAGGGGACATGTGTTTACCTCTGACTGATTCACATTGATGTACGGTAAAAACTGACGCAACACTGGAAAGCATTTATTCTCCAATTAAAATTATACAGAGTGAAATAAGACAGAAAGATAAAGACCAATACAGTATACTAACACCTATATATGGAATTTAAAAAGATGGTAATGATAACCCTATATGCAAAACAGAAAAAGAGACACAGATGTATAGAACAGACTTTGGGACTCTGTGGGAGAAGGTGAGGGTGGGATGTTCTGAGAGAATAGCATTGAAACAAGTATACTATCAAGGGTGAAACAGACCACCAGCCCAGATTGGATGCATGAAACAAGTGCTCAGGGCTGGTGCACTGGGAAGACCCAGAGGGATGGGATGAGGAGGGAGGCAGGAGGGGGGATCGGGATGGGGAACACATGTAAATCCATGGCTGATTCATATCAATGTATGGCAAAAACCACTACAATATTGTAAAGTAATTAGCCTCCAACTAATAAACATAATTGAAAAATAATAATAATAAATAAATTTAAAAAATAAATTTAAATAACTAGATAAAAACAAGAATAACTGTATAGCCCAGGGACCTCTGCTCATTGTTTTGTGGCAGCCTAGATGAGAGGGGACTATGGGAAAGAATGGATGATGTGCACACATAGGGAAGAGTCCCTTCATGTCTACCTGGAACTATCATAACATTTCTAACTGTCTATAATCCAATATCAAAAAACCATTTAATTAAAAAGAAGAGGCTGCAGAAAATTTTCCTGCGTAGAACAAGGTACTATCAAAGTCACCAGGTGGCAGGTCTAGGTCAAGAGAAAACTATAAACTTCTGCAGCAGAGCATACAGGAGATTTCAGGGCTCTATAACTGATTTGGGAAAGTGGCCCAACAGAGGCCCCTGACAAGATCAAGGACAGTGAGAACAGCAGGGCAGGAGCCACTAGAAACCCTGAGGAGGGGTCAGGGCTCATACTGTGGCCTGCCTGGCACTTACTCCCTGTGAGACCATTCCTGAGCACGCGCTTCCCAAAAACCCATGGGTCCACACCAACCTGTCTTCAACATCACATGTTCTGACAGGCTCCCACTGGCCATCATTCAGGAGGCATGATAGGCAGCATTTTTGACCTTTTTGGTCAACCTGGGGATTTTCAGTTGTTAAGCTTCCTGTGTCATCTGCCCCTCCCACAGAGCCCTCCAGGGGGAGGAGGCTGAGCCAGTTTCCTCTGTGGACTCAAGGACTAGCATCTTGCCAACACACACAGCACCTCCTGTGCAGCCCTGGGCACCTTCACACTGTGGCTCTCCTGAAAAAAGGAAGCATACGACACTGTCCCCCTGGAGTGAGGACCAGCAGAGGTATAAAAGGGCTCCAGGTGAGTAGGGAGCATCTTCCACTTGCACCATGACTCAGGCTGGAGCTCTCCTGCTGCTCTGCACTGCCTTGCTCCTCATCGCGGGTGGAAGTGAGTGGCTGGGACCTGTGCTTCCCAAACTTTCTGACAACTTCCCAGGACAGCACCTGAGCGTCTCGGGACGGGGAAGGGAATAGGGTGTTCTGATGAGTGCCTTACAGGGAGTGTCCCCTTATCTTTCTGTTTCAGAGTGTGATGACATCTGCCCAGCCTTGAGGGACACTGTTGACCTGTTCATATGGGACAGCCATGACGCCTATATTGAACAAGTTGAAAAGTATAACCAAAACTCTGATGTTCTGGAAACTGCCGATATTCTGAAGAGCTGTGTTGATGAGAAGTTGACAGCAGAGAATAAGCAGGATGCTCTGAGTGCTCTGGTGGGTCAGGCTGTGTGTGAATGTGCCTGTGGGGCCTGTGTAGGGGGTTGGGGTGTCAGAGGTCTGTGTCAGGGGCTTGGTCAGGGCACTTGGAGGTGTGGGGATCATATCCTCTCCAATCTGGCCCTTCCCTGGGAACCTGGGAGGGAGAAGATCCTTATGAATGAGGGCGTAGAGAGGATGTGGCTGACACCCACAGGGTGGGGAAGGACCATGAAGGGAGACTCAGGCCAGCCCTGGAGTTCTTGAGCTGGCTCTGACTGCTCAGCTCTACCTGGTCACAGGCCTGGGACCCTCCAGGCCCTCCTGACCCTGTGGTGCCACCTGACTTTGGAGTTAGGCCCTCAGCGCTGGCCTCCCTCACTCCAGCCTCCCCAGCACAGGAACCTGACTCTGCTGCAATCCATTCCTATTGAGACCTTCTCTTTTCCAAATATCAGTGTTTTTCCTAATGCCTCAAGTCCCTACTCCATTCCACCAAACACCCACATATGTCCTTGGTCCCTGGATGCCAAAAGGTCATTAAGCCACACATGCCCTAAGAGGACGCTGCTTCCTAAAGCTGATCTCCTGCCCTCCCCAGGCCTGGGATGCCCAGAGTCGAGGATCAGAGTGAATCCTTTCTCTGCTGCCATAGAGGTGGTGGGACAAGCAGCTGTTTCAGCTCTAAGTGTCCAAGGACCAGAGGGAGGAAGCAGACAGGGATCAACTCTTTCCTGGAGACTCCCGGGAGTTAGTCCTGAGCCCTGCCAGGTGATCCTCAGAAGTGTCCCCAATTTTAAGCCAGGCAACTGCCCTCAGTCCTCCAGGGAGACCACACAGTCTCTGTTCCATTGAAGAAAGGAAGACTCATTGGGATGTATCCACCTTTACCCACTCACATTCAGAGGCTTCCCTCCACAGAACCCTCCCCTGTGTTCAGTGCAGCTTCATGTCTCTTGGAATCCTGAGGCCTCACCAAGTTTCTGCACCTTCTTTTACAGAATAAAATATACTCAAGTTCTCTCTGCTGATGGAACACTATCTGCCAGCACCCAAGGAAACCACTTGCGTGATCCCTAAGTCATGTCAGCAACCTGCCACATCCAGGTGTCTGATTATAGAGGATTCCAGCAATAAAAAGCCTTGCAATTCACAGGAGAGTGCTTACTCACTGATTTCAGAGGGTGGGGAGGAGGTTGTGACCACAGTGGAGACCATCAGTGTCCCTTCCCACTGCAGCTGAATTTCAGTGCTCTCAGATGCTCCTCCACAAACTCAACAGGTGGAACATGGGTAATGATCATTACATCAGCTAGAGGGTCTGATCACTTCTGTCACATCCTCTAGAGTGTCTGTTCATTTCTATCACAGAACTCAGGTCATGAGCATCATCCACCAAATTTCAGCCTTGAAGCAACCTTAGGCATAGCAATAATCATCCTCACCTTACAAGGGAGAATCAGAGTCTCAGAGAGGGTAAAACATCTGCTGAAGAGACACAGCTTCCCCAACCTGTCCATGCTCGGGAGATGAGCTCAGCTAAATCACTCTATGACTTTGCACATATTACCGTGCTTCTTTGGGCCTCTGATTTCTATTTATAAAATTGAACTTTCCTACAGTGTCCAAGTCTTGGTAAGGCCAAAGTAAAATAATGACTGACAAATGGCTCCTGTCCTAAGTGCCTGATGGGAGAGGAAGAACCAAGGGTCAAGGAACACTTGCTGAACGCTGTCACTACTTGGGCCTCAGTTTATGCTAATGCCAACCCCCAATTTGTGAACTCAGCTGCTTCTGCATAAACACACTGGGAGTTGGGTCTATGCTCAGAGTGGACGTTCAGGGGCCTGGGGTTTCTGGCTCCTCCTATGTCTCTGCTGCCTGCCCACAAACAGGGCCCTGTGCTTGTGCTGTCTGATTCTTCTTCACCTGACCCCACCCCATCTCTAAGAGTTTCTTCCCACCCAAAAGCTCCCCTCCAGAAAAGTCTGCTGGGCTTACTCCATAGGTCTAGGATGGGTAATCTCTAAGGTCCTCATGATGAGAAGGCTTAGGACAGGTCCTCAAGGTGATCCAGAGCGGCTGCTTCTCCCTGTGGAGGGAGCCCTGGGAGACGCAGGGGATGTCTCCTTGCCCAGAGTGACACCAGGCCCATGTCTCTGCCCACCACTCCTCCCGCCACAGCGTCTATCTTGGAGCTCTTTTAAGATGGAGACCTGCCTCTGTGGGAGCTTAGGTGAGCTGAGCTGGTGTCAACAGGTCTTGTAGCAGGGACCCTTCTCCTTATCTGACACAGGATGTGCATTCCATCCCACCCCACCCAACTGATGTGACAGCTCCAGGCCTTTAGAAAGGAGAGATGCCACCCTGATAAATAGGTGCCTCTTCCAATGTCTTGGATATAAACTCACCCTGCTCTACAGTGAGTGCACATGTGTGATGGGACCCGTCCAAAGATTTGGTGGAGATGAGTGAGGGGCAGTTGGTCCTCCTGGGACAGACACAATCCATCTTTGGCTCTTGCTCAGTTGCACAGAATTCCGTGAGGCTGCTGGGGAGACACCTCCATTATTGCCCACTGCGCCCCCCCTTCCCTGCCTTCCTCTAATCTACAGTACCCTTATCTAATCTGGGGTTAGTAGAAAAGGCAGCATCTGATTTCTCCCAAATCCTTTTCTGTCTGACATCCAAATCTAAGATAGCTGTGAAGGTACCTGTCTAAAACCTGTGGCTTTGGATCTCTGATTCTCACATGACTTCCCTCTGAGATCATAGGAGGCCCACTTCGTTTCCACCTAGGCCAACCTGAGTTTACCTGCAGCTGTGGGATAGTTCCCCACTGCAGACACTCCCCTCCTCAAACTCCTGAATCTGCCCTACCTGCCTGGGGACTTCTCCAGCACCTGCGAGCCTGCTGGACCACTGGTGCTTGGTGCTCAGTTGCTTCAGGTGTGTCTGATTCTTTGCGACCCTATGGACTGTAGCCCACTAGGTTCCGCTGTCCATGGGATCCTTCCCGCAAGAATACTAGAGTGGGTTTCCCTGCCCTCCTTCAAACTACTGGGAGGCTCACTGGGAGGTTCCTCACTTAGGCACCTGACATCCCCTTCCTAATTGCCTACCTGCTACCACATCCCTGTGTCACCTTTGTATATGGGTCACATTTGATGGGAACACAAAGACTCATGGTGTTCTATGTCCATCTGCCTGATAAGGAAAGCCAGGAATTCGAGTGAAAGATACCCAGTAAAGACAGCAGGTGGAAGGAAGAGGGATACCATAGTTGAAGCTTCAGAGGCATCACAGAGAACAGGAAAATCACTACTCAGAGACGATAAAGATGGTTGGGGGAGGGAGATGCTTTCTGGCCTTGTATTTCTCTGTGGACCTTGCAATGAGATATTCTCAATCTGCTGGGGCAAGATGTTTTGAGGGTGCACCCTTACCCTAGGCCATAGGAACCCATGGTGGATTTCAGACAGAGCATACACTGCTCCATGGATCATGATCTGGGAACCAGAAAGTCATAGAGAGATAGGAGCAAGATCTGGGTGGCAGGATAGAGGCTGCAAGACAGAGACAAGCCTCCAATAAGGAAAAGGCCAGAATCAGTCCATAGTTGAGGACAGGGCTTGCCTTCATGATTGCAGTATGAAGACCTGCAGAGATACATCCACTGCTTCAAAGTTACCATCATACCTTGAAGTTTCCTTGAAAATACTTTTTAAGTATATTCTATTATATTGAATATAGCTCCAACGGTATAATATATTTACACTCATATTTAGGCTGGCCATGCTCATGGAAACAGAACAAAGGAGACCCAGCTGGGGCTTCAGACCCAGGCTTCTGAAGGGTTTCACATGGAAGGGTCAGATGTTCTTTTGTGTGCCCCACGCAGGTACCCGAGGAAGCCAAAGAGCTCAGCAGATCCTAAGCAGACAGACAAGATAGATGACAGAAACACATCTTCCACTTGGAAGGACACCATAGAAAACACACACATGGATTCATCATGTCTGTTTCCAGATTCCTGAGGTAAAGACAAACTCACTACTTAATAGACAAATAGGCTCCACTTGTAAAGTCTGCAGAGCTGCACACAGGCCTGTGTATCTGGGCAGCCGGGGCACAGAAAAAAGCATGGTCAACACAACACGGCCAGGTGAAGAGGCCCTGCAGATGATAGCAGGACAAGCCCAGATCCACATATCACCGGTTCTACCACAGAGGCAGCTCTGAGCAAACTTTCAGGGCTGGCCCAGTCTCAAGAGCATCTTCCATGCTCAATCCGTGAGGGGTTAGCCCATTCTACATCCTGTCAGGACAGGCGTGGAAGGAGTAATAATAAATCACAGAAATACCTAAACGATTTTGGTCCAGTGTCCAAGAGAAAGATTAGAGCAAAGTCCAATTAACTGAAGAAGGCCCAACAAAAAGAGACCCTGATGCGACTTTCCTGGTGATCCAGTGGTTAAGAATCTGCCTTCCGATGCTGAGGATGCTGGTGTGACCCCTGATCAAGGAACTTGGATACCACTTGCCATGGGATGACAGAGACTTTTGTGCCACAGCTAGAGCAAAGCCCTTGGGCTGCAAAGAAAGATCCTCCATCTGCCATAAGAAGACCCCACATCCTCAGCATTGGAATGCAGACTCTTAACCACAGGATCAACAACATTGTAAAGCAATTATCTTCCAATTAAAAAATTAAGTTTAATTTAAAAATATTTTTAAAACTTCAAAAAGAAGGAGAGAGAGAAAGACCCTGAGAAGAGGCCAAAAAGAATAAGTCAAGGCAGAATTCAGATTGGTGATTCCAGTTCAGGGAGACTTCGCACAATGGGGCGATATGGTGCACAGCTATGTGGTTGCAATACAGGCTTAAAAAACATTCTACTCCTGAGCTGTCTGATTGCTTTGGAGTGGAAAATAAAAAGTGAAGCATAAATGACTCATTCTCCTCTCCTTCTCCACATGCCATGAAAAAGATAGTAATGGAATTTTAAACTATGGCCCCATAAGGACAAAAAGAACAATATGGGGTTATCACCTAATGATGGAATAGAACACATTTTCAGAGGAAAGAAAGCACAGAAAGATGGGGTGACTATGGGCACAGAAACCCATATCTAACAAATAAGGCAGAGTCCACTTTTCCTAATTAATTCCAAAGAGCTCTGGACTACAGAGACATGACCACTGCAGTGGGTAAGTGTAAATATGGCCGCAGAACTGAAAAGAAGTAACTGATAAAAAGAGGTGAGTGATATCTACGTGGAATCACTGAAACCCTTAACCCTACTTCCCACCTCTTTCACGCACAGAACACATGAATTCAGGTAAACATCTTCCAAGAAGGAAGCTGGAGAGCCAGCGTGATGTAATGGTTAAGATCAGGGACCCTGGAGTTGCACTTCATGGTTCCAAATTGTTTGCATTCAGAACGTGAGCTTTCAATGGCACCACTGTAAGCTAGAACGTAACAGAGAAGCGTCTTCAAATTTCTAAAGCAAAGTTAGATTTCCATCGTGAGGGAGGTATCAATCCAAATAGGTAACAATCAAATAATTCTCCTTCCTTGCATCTTCTCTCAGGAATGTACAAGAGGATGTACTTCACTAACACAAGAGAACAGACTGAGAAAGGGGAAGACATCTGATTCCAAGATGAACTCAGGGAAATTGGGGACACCCACTGCTTTGGGTTTGGAAAATCATCATTCTAGACTGGAGTCTAGAAGGAGGGGCAGCTCTAGGCGATATCACTCTATCACCTAGATCAATACATTGCTTTATGTGTCCAATCATGGGAAGAAGAGCTTTCATTTCTTCTTAAAGTTTTGGAACAATTTAGGTACATGCAGATAATCACAAAGTATGAGCAAGGCTAATATTACTAACAAAGTACAGAAATATGTATTTTGCTTTTAAAAGTTTATTCTATTCTAAGAATGCAAACATACCTTAGCTTTACATACATACATACACACACACACACACACACACATATATAAATATATATATATATA